CATTGTTCTATAAATACATCAGCAGTGCTGGCAGGAAACTGGTGTCCCAGCAGAAGCTACGCACCCAGCAATTTCTGCCTGCGTGAGGCTGCAGCCATTAAGAGCAGTCATTGCCCAGAAATGCTCTTCAGCATTCTTAGTGCAATGGTAGCATCTCCCCGATTCCTCTCAGAAAGCACTGCTTTTCTGCTGGCTTTAGACTTTCTACCCGTAATAACGAAAGGGTAGCTCTCCTTTCGTTACAGGCAGCCAAGATGTTAAATATGTTTTCTTTCATGTTGTTTTTCCTTCAGACTTCCTGGTGTCACGGTAGCACGTACGCATCCCAGATCATTTCAGCTGGCTTTGCTTTTATGTCTGTAACTGATGATGCAACATCCCAGTGTATAACGCTGAGTGTTTTGAGATGGTCCTCAAATGAACTAAGACATAATCCTCTTGGACTGTAAACAGAACCTTTGATGTAGCAGAAGGAACAGTATGGTTTTCTGAATCCAGTATACAGACACCAGGAAGAAGTGTGTTTCCCTGTACTGTGATTATCTTTCTGTTTGTGAACTGGATTTAAGGATGTAAGGCTGAGTCTTGCTCTCCTATTTTTCTGATAAGCCAAAAGAAATAGATTAGCCGTTCTTCCAGGCTGTTGAGACAGGAGAGTATCTGTGTTAGACACTCCACGTTTGTAAGTGGAGTAGGCTTATCTCCGCTCTGGTCTTACCAGCTTTTTCTGCCAGAGGTTGAAATACTTATGATTCCCTCATGTCATTGCTTGAGGTGAATCTGTACCTGTATAGTTTTATTCATTCTGTTGCATGTCAGGAGGATAACAAACAAGCTTGTGTCAGGCCAGTTGACGTGATTTTTAAAGCTGCTTTCTGTGCTGAATGTTTACTTTTTGTAGCCAGCCATTGAACTTCCCAGTGCGGATGAGGCTTTGTCTGACCTAAGTTTACAGCATGTCCACAGCGGAGTAACCTGCTCTGTTTTCAGCTACCAGATGCCCATGTAGCAGCTGAAGAAGAAGAACAGGAGGCCTGGGTGAATGCTTTCCTTGGAAGAATATTTTGGGATTTTTTAGGAGAAAAGTATTGGTCTGATCTAGTGTCCAAGAAGATCCAAATGAAACTCAGTAAAATAAAGGTAACTATTCTAGGGACTTGCACTTCTTATTCCTGAGAGAAGAAAACAAACAGTCTTTGAGATTAGAAACTAGAAAAAAACACAATGGTGAATCTGTACTTTGTGCCTGTCAACTGTTTGTGCCTGTCAAGTTCCTGTGTGAAAAGTAGAAGTGTTACTGTATTTACTTAGGAATAAATAGAGCTGCTTATAAAGTATTAAAGCTCCCTGACGCAGATGTCCATAGCGGGCGTTACAGACCTACAGTGCTTCTACTTTCCCCGCACACACGCACGTTAGAACTGTGAATAGAAACTAAATGCAGATTCAGAACTTCAGCAAAACGAAATCTGCTGTTGTAAGTGTTAGATTGCCTGTAAGGAGAAGGAGGTGAAGGTGCTCGTACACCTCCTGCAACTTTCAATATACACTGGCTGCAGGAAAGGTCGGTGCGAGTGACTGTCAATGCAACAGCTGTCTGATGGGTGTAGGGATACAATTGTGCATCCACTGCGTAAGTGCAAAGGATGAAGGAGAAACGATGCTTTTGGATGACTTCTGGGTCTTCCCCTTGCATTCTGTAGCCGTCTCAACAGCAGCAGTTAATCACAGGCCGCTTCAGCCCCTGATGTTTGGGGAGGAGTTTACCTCTTCCTAAAGGCAAAAGAAGAAATAGTCTTGCTGACAAGCTGCGAAATGTAGCTGCCACCACCAGCTGTGAGACAGTGTTGCTTGTGCTTTGGGGAAATAAGCAGTAACCTAATTCTGCTCTGGCTATTCCCACAATCATGACAGCAGGGTATTCAAACATCTCATTAGAAATAGTTCAATGGAAAGACAGGGAATGGGGGACCGGGTGTATTTCTGATAGGTTAAAGCCCTATCTGTTCACAGTAGATAAGTGTTTCTAATTGATAGAAGTTCTACAGCAAATACAGGCACAGAAAAGTGTGACTTTTGTAATACTAAAATTATGAAACAGATTTTAAGGCTAATGTGCTATGGTTAGAATTTACCAAAGATAAAAATAGCTAAGATTTTGATGTAACTGCCACTATAAAATATGTGACTGAACTTCAAAAACAAAATCTTTAATTTTTATTCACAGTAAAATAGGATTTACGCTTTGTTATTTAGCTGTTTATATGCTTTGACTAAAAAGCATACCAGAGATTTCACTCAGAGTCAATGATGGCATCTGAACCTAAATGTAGATGAAAAACATTTTGGCTCCAAGTTCAGATAATAAATCTCTCTCTTAAAATATTATTTTGAAACTGACAAATGTGAAATCCTAGAATTTGAAGAAATTCATGTAATCGTATTTGTGTTCTTTCACTGTTAACTTTTCAGCTCAATCCAATCTTTAAGTTTAATGGCCTTTCCAACTCAGGAAACAGTGATGTTTAGTTCCATAACACGGGGTTTGTTTTTTTTAACGTTCTGTTCTTTAGCTGCCATACTTCATGAATGAACTGACCCTGACTGAACTTGATATGGGGATAGCAGTGCCGAAGATCCTTCAAGCCTTCAAACCTTCTGTTGATCACAAAGGTAAAATAATTTAATAATTTCCTTCTTTATTTTTGCCAGCGCGTGCCTTCATATCCTGCAGAGCAGAATTTTGATCTGGAAGTGTACGCTTAACAAGAGCTCTTAAGAGGAGCTCATTTTGAGGAGATACTGAGTGTTCTGTTTTCAATAACAGCAATATTAGGCTTGGTGTAATCGTAATTTTATAGAACCTATAGAAGTCAGAGAAATATGATTGTCTCTTTCCGTTTGAATATGTAAGCAGTTACAGAAGTAGACTAATACATGCATACAACACAGGAGCAGATGCATGGGTGCATCTGTCATGCACTGCAGAGAGCAATGCAAGTCTCATCAAGAGAGAATTGGTTCTGCACCATAGCAGAAAAGATTTGACGGTCTTTGAGAGGAGTTGTCCTGCTCTGAAAACAGTGATTCAGAAAAATGCAATCCTAACGAACCAGAAAACAAAAATGCAATGTTGCTTTGAAAAGAAGCTTTAAAATACAGCATCACTTTGTGTTCTCAGTATCAAGTATGATTTTTTTTTTTAAAGCTAAATGACTTTCTTACTGCTACATATGAATGAAAAGACTATTTGCTTTTTTCTTGTTTTTTTATCTTACATTTTTGTCATAGCAATATATTTGAGGTTATTCTGATCACTTAAGGACTTTCACAAAAAACAATCTTTATCAGTCTACTAAAGAATAAGATTCTCATTTTAAAAAGTAGTCTTTTTAGGTCCATATATAGCCTGAGATAACACTTTTAGCTTCAAAAGTATTTGTGCTTTTACATGCTGAGGATTGGTAGATACCATCTTATTCTCTAAGAGAGGTAATTAGAGCAGCTTTTCATGTGAAAATGTTGATGAGTTTATTAAGGATTTTTTTAACTTGTCTCTTCTCACTCCCTTCACTCCTGTAGTTGCTTACCATATTGCAACACTGGGCCAGAAAATGTAGTTGATCTGCAAGAGAATTACTTGGCTCAAGGTGGAGAAGGTTCTAATTGGTCTAAAGGGAAATACGCCCTTGGAGGACCTGTTGTGATGCTATGGCTTACAAGGCAAACAACTTATTTTGGTTTTATGTCCGCTCTTCCAACTTTTATATGAAGATATCAAAATAAAGTCATTTCCAGATGGTGTTCATTAACCGATGAGCTGTCAGTGAGTCAGTATGAATTTAATGCATTTACAGTACTTAACTATGTTGGAGACACTGGACAGGCTCTAAATTACGGACCTGCAAAGGGCCAAAACCTCAGCAAATAGCACATATCTCAGTAGTGTGTTTATAACAATAAGACAGAACATGGAAAGAGCTCTTCAACATATTAGTTCCTCTCATTGTTCTTAAAGGTCAGGTCACGGTGGTTCCCCAGAATTCGTGATAAATTCAGCTGTACACAATATTAGCTAACTAGGCAGTTTCTGCTTAGAAGCAACTCAGATTTCATCTTTGTACCTAGTATATAGTTTGGTTATATAGATGGCCTTTTCCAGTTTTATTTAAGTGTAATTTTGATACAAGACTCATTTGTCTGCCACTCTTACACTGCTGTTCTCTAGCTCTGAGGAACAATCATCAGGCCTTTGCAAAAATACCAGGTGCACAAGATTTAGAAGGAATTAAATACCCTTCATCAGTAACACTGAAAATGTTGTGATTCTCAAATCACCGACTAAAAGCTGGAGAAGCTCGAACTTTTCCCTTGTATTACAAGTGTGGACAAAACAGACTTCTGGGAATCATTAAAATTCTCATGGACATAGCGTTATTTAACGTCTCTTTTGATGCCTGTTGTATCCAAATGCTAGTGTTTGCCCTATCTCACCTGAGATTTGCAGCTCTTTGGGGAAAAGCCTTATCTGTGAAACACTGACTACTTTGCTCTCTCTCAACTTCTTAAAAGTATTTTTTCAGTGAGCTTTATAAGCAAAGCTTGACAGAAAAAAGCAAATTGTTTTGTTGTCACAGGAACAAAAACTCTCTTTTGAGAGAAATAGAACTTCGACAGATGGACTAAGCAATCGGTATTGAGGGAACTAGAATATACTGCTCGCTCTTGTAAGATGCTTCTTCCCGTATGGGCCAGCAGGTTCTCAGTGTTGCCTGCGACATCCTCCAGTGTTCTTGGTTACAAAACGGCTTCGCCACTTGTAGGAATTTATTATTCCTGTTTGCTGAAAACAACATGAAATGCCAAGTGTTTTGATAGTTTCTTTTTAAACAAACTTACGCTTTAGAATCCGTTGTCAGAGGGTTTCCCTTTGCGTAGTGCCGTGTTGCGGGAGTATTGAACCAAAACAGGTAAGGCAGAGGAAGATGGAAATGTTTGAGTAACGTCTTTTGCCTGCTCGAGGAAATCCCCGAACTTGGAGCCCTTGTCAGAGTCACTTTCAGTTATTGACTACCAAGTGCTACTGAGGAAAGCCATACAGTAGGTGTGTATGGGGGAGCTGCATTTCTCCCTGCGCTCCTCTTTAATATGAGAGATTGTATCCAGTTGAACTAGCATCCGAAGCAGTCGTTTCTGCTGCAGCAGCTTTCTGCAGTCAAAGTACTGCTGTCGCATCAAAGCAGCGGTGAACTTGATTACAGTAATCTTAAACTGATTTGCAGCAAAGCTCCCTTGATTGTTGCTGCAGCTTGTTATGGTAGCAGTGGTTCTGAGTGCTCTTTTGAAATAGTCGTTCACAACATCTTTGAAATAAAACGAATTGCTAAATTCTTCTAATCCATATTTGTAGGCGAAAAATATAAAATATACAAAAACTTAGATATATGCTGTCCAGATACGGCGAAAAATATAAAATATACAAAAACTTATCGTATCTGGACAGCATATATCTATTTGTGACGTTTGTGTGATATCCAAAGCATTGTTACTGCATCTGTCCCCTCAGTGAAGAGGAAAAGCGCTATTTGTTTGTGATCTACGTTTTCACTTTAGAAATACATGGTCTAATATTACTTCAGGTTAGTCAAAGGAGGAATCGGACACAAACTATGTTTCAGTTTGCGCATCTGACGGTGAATTGGCTCTGTATCATCCCGGCCAGAGATGCAAAGGGCTGTAGTAAAGGTAAATGACAGATTTAGATCCTGTATTTTGCACAGAAGACAGTGGGTTTGTAAACCCTGGCTTCCCCAGGTTAATCTGTGAGAGAACAGTCAAGACGATGCCTTGCCACAAACTGCAAGGTGAAGCTGTTGTACGTACATGCAGCGTACGACGGGAATAAAACTCCCTGGGACTTTCCCAAAATGCTTGCACAGTATCAAATAAATAAATACGTATCTGGTATAGCCACCTGGCTGAACTGAAAAGGAACAAAACTGTATCAACTTCCTTAGCGTATTGAGTTTTATCTGGATTAAGTTTTTTGTAGAAGGTTATCTGAGTCAAACAGACTTAAACATGTTTTGAATTCCTTTGCTTCTGTTCTAATAACGTCAGTTATAACTGAGGACTGCAGTTCTAAGTCATGAGATGGGATTTAGGAGATTGCTGAACGTTTTCCTTCACTTCTTGATTACTGACAGCGCCAGCGAGAACAATTAACTCTTTCAGGTCCTTGTGACAAGCAAACGTTTATGGCAGAGTTGGTAATCCCTGTCATTTGACGCTATGAATGGAATTACGTGTAAACTCTTAGTATCTGAGTGGTTTTAGGAGCTTGCAGTGAATATTCACTCAAATAATGTATTTTGCTGCTGTTCTTAGAAGAATATGTATAAATAAGGATATGATGCATGGAAACGTTTGTTTTCAAAAGAATGAATTCACTTGCTTGTAAATTGGCCTATGAGTCACTCGCACCCAAAATAAAAATTTCTTAAAAGAAAAACTGCAGGCTAATATCCAGAATGAAAGCTTTTAGGATTTTTTTAGAACCTGTTGAGACCATCAGTCGCCTCAGCTCGCCTTTTGTGAGGCATGAAAATATGGCCAGTTGCTGGGTGTGAAGAACTCTTGTGCTTTTTTCACCAGTAAGCCTACATACTTTTCTATCAGTGCTTGATTACAAGAAAAAGAAAATTGATTCTATGGTTACTATAAGTCAGTAAAGATGCTAACAGACAATATTTACAAAAAGAAAAAAATCCTATTTCTGTTAATACAGTTCTGTTTGGGTGACAGCATATGCTCTAGTGTTTGCTGTGCTTCTGTCAAGGCTCGGGAACCAGATAACGGAATAAACTGTGCCATCTGCCCGGTTCTCCCCCCCCCCGCCCCCGAAAAAGTGTATGAACGTTTCCTGGCCAGAAAGAATATCCTCTCTCAGTAATCTGGTTTTAATGGTTTCCTTTGCTTAATTCGATCTGTTATTAAAATAGCACTGAAATTTGAAGCGTGCTGACTCACTGGCCCTCTAAAAGGTCTGTTTAGCTGTTTTCTTGTTTCTGATGATCTTAATATTACTTAATTGCTGTACAGAGAGAAAACAAAAATCCATGTAAGCTCCTGTTTGAGTTCTTGTGTTTTGGTTTGGTACAGCATTATAGCCTGGATGACGAAAAGAATAATTAGGGGTAGTAAAAAAAAAGCAGCTGGCCCTCAGTGCTCTTTCCAGTGGATGGACTGTGTCAATGACTGTGTCAGCTCTTCGGGAGCTGAGTCTTCCTGTGGATTCAAACAGGTAGAACCGGGGACAGTGGCATTTTTCTGATAAGCTCTTGCAGAAACGAAAACTATTGTTCTTTAATTGAAAAACGGTATCTTTTCTAGATCAATGAGAACTGAGGAGTAGGTGCCATTACTTGCTCCCACATAAATACGAAGGCTCGCGTGGTTGCACCGTCTCACCGGTGTGCCAGAGACTGGTAGGGCGTACTGCGTGCAGCTGCAGCGTCTGGGAAAGGAAGATATGTCATCTGTGTTTAGTGGCATCAGGATATTTCTAATCTCTGTTCACAAGTACCCTGTAGCTTTTTTTTTTTTTACTCAGTGGGGTTGCTGGTTGCATTGAAGAGGCTGGACCTAATCTTGTAATTATTCCCCAGACAATTCTTTTGGTGATTGTGATAAGTGAGTAGCCTGGCTAGACAATGAGATTTAAAATGTAACTTAAGCACTACACACCTAGAATTGTTCTCAGTAATGACCCTGTTTCTTATGAGTCATAAGCAGAAGAATGCCTATAGCTGAGTAACTGAGTGAGCATTTCATATTTCTTCAATGAGATATGGCTGAAAGCAGAAATGGACTACGGGTTGTGGTGTGGAAAAGGGATCTTGTTCGGGGATTGCAAGTTTTGCTCCATTTGGACAATAAAAGTAATATAGAGGATTGTCCCCATTACAGTTCGGCTTGGAGCAGTGTTTTGAATAGTTTAAGTGAATCGTCTGATTGTCTATCTGCTTTGTCTTGATTCAGGTCTCAAGCGGTTGTGGTGTGCACAAATCAATTTTTTTTTTTTTATAGCATTAACTGTACTAGGCTGATCTGCCTTTTACCCTGCCTTTAATTCATTTCCCAGCACTGAACTTTGTTTTATAAGTTTAATAGGAACAGAAAACTTTGCTTCGGTAAGCTTTTGACTTTTAGTAAGTTAACACAATAATTAATGAAAAGGTAGGTGTTCCCCCCCCCCCGCTTTTTTTTTAAAGGTGATGTACAGATTTTTTTTTAAATAGGTTTTTGTCTTGGTATTAAAATAAAATGATTGTGACTTTTTTTTTTTAAACTGACATCACATGTTTATCATTAATTCTAGGACTTTGGATTGATTTGGAAATGTCCTACAATGGGTCTTTTCTAATGACCTTGGAGACCAAAATGAACTTGACCAAACTGGGTAAAGAGCCTCTTGGTGAAGCACTGAAAGTTGGAGAGATTGGCAAAGAAGGGTAAGAGATTGCAGTGGTACAGCTGAACAAGAGCTTTGATAGTGGGGGAAAGCTAAAATTTCCATGTGCATATGTAGCTCTGGCTCTGTGACAGATTGAAAGGTGTTGGAGTACCTGCATGTGAGTGGCCTTTCTCTGCAACTGTAAGTAATGTTTGATTATGCCATTGATAGTTGTCTTTAAAAAATGGCTTTTATAGTACAGTCTTATTTCATACATATTTTAGTAGGATGTTTAAACGTTGGGTGATTAAAACACAGTTTTGCCTTCCACTGGAATTGAGGTCCTCACAAGTAGGACCGAATATTGGAGACATATATTACATGCAGGTATCTTCTACAGCAGGTTACATTGTAGATGAAGCATGAAACTTCTCTAAGTAGAACAGAATTTTTCAGGAAAAAAAAGCTATCTCTGAATTGGAAGACATGAAACTAAATTACAAAAATGTAACAGTTTTTGATGCATGGAGACCTTTAAATTATAACATAGATTTTTTAAAAGTGAGTATTTTGATCAAAATGCTTTTAGCTATTACTTATCTAACAATTTCTGTATTAATGTATATTCTCCACAGGAAATTACTATTAGAGAGATGCAATTTCCACGAAAGTATTATCATTACATATACATATATGTTCATTATTTTCATTTTAATTTGATGAGGGTGTTATTTTTGGTACTATAAGCATTGAGTGGCATATATCCTAGTGTAACTTCATTGACATGCAAATCCATTCCTACTGGAATGTATTTCAGCCGTTCTCTCTGTGACATTTATCTGTGTTAACCAGCCATTCAAGTACACTTGGTTATTTAGGATTGGTTATTACTTGACTATAATGCAGTGAATGTAACTTTTTTCCAAAAGTTGTAGTTTATTTTCTCACATTATTAATTCATAACTCACTTTTTAAAGCGATGAACTGAGGCAGGGGCGAATCTCTGGCAGAACTGAAATTTGTTTCTTGTGTACTGACATCTGTATGCACTACGTTTCTGTTATAGGCAGTCTGATTTAACACATTAACAGTGATGGACTAAAACGGAATCTCTCTGGCATTACATGCCAAATGCGAAACAAGCGTTTCTTATATTTTACTGCATCCAAGCAATGTGAGATTGAGACTGTCAACAACCTGTTACTTTTTATAGGGTTTTTTTCTGACTTGTATCAAAGAATATCTACTATCGTAAACTATGTAATAGTAAACAATTATGGAAAGTAAATAGGCTATAACTGTTATGCAAAGACTTTCTTAATAGCTTTATTGCATCATGGGAATAATCACACCCCTTCTTTAGACTCCAGTTTTCCTCATATTCCACTTCTGTTTAGCTGCTGTGTCTAAATGAAGTCTCATAGGTGAACTAATCAGACAACACCCAGCACACATACTGTAACTTACCTAATTCGTATTTGTGCCGTTTCCCTCTCATTTTTATAATACTGTTTGAATTTCATCAGTTTGTGGACTTGTATTAACCTACTGAGTGGTATTTGTCAAATATTCATCCCGATAGCTGTGGAGCGCTGATTCCGTTTGTGCTGCATGAAACCATTCAGTGGTTTTTCTTGCACTGCCGATCAGAAGAGGAAGCAGATCCTTGTGGGCAGCCAAAAGAGGCCGAGATCACGTACCTCCTCAGCTGCTGTTGCAAAACCCCCTAGAGCTTTGCAACCTCAACCTGAGGCAGAACCATCCCAGCATCCTCAAGAGCCAAGAACCATCTCTAAATCAAACATGCCCTGAGTTAGTCATCCTGCAGCCAAGGCCCACACTGAGTAATCATGGGGGTCCTAGAATTTTTGTGTTTCAAAACAACTATTTTCCTTTCCAGCAGAAAGCAGAATGTCAAAATAGCTACTGAGAAATCTGCAATCCCTGAATCCCTGGTCCCCGATGTAGCGTATCTCCACTGCCAACAAATAAGAAAGTATTCTGATTTCTGAAAAAGTCTGATTTCTTGCTTAGACATGAATGAAATGTGGTCTTTCAATATTAAAACACTAGATTTTGCATACTCATGTCACAGCTCTGACCGTTTATTTTGAAGTATTTTGAAGTAATTATTATAACAGCACTACATTATAATGCAATTGTGAAAAGGAAATAGATGTAAATGATCTGATGGATGGGTAGAATTTCAGAGACTTTAAAATCAGTAGCCTAGGTTCTCTTCTCACTGGCACTGATTGAAATAAGTGTTTCTGAATTTACATCAATATCATGAGTAGCTGTGATCCTAAGTATTAAAGAAGCTTTTTCAAGAATTCCCTGTAATCTTGTCCACCAAAACATGGAGGATAGAGAATGAAAAGTCCATACAAATGGAGTTCTTGTTTCTCTCTTCCCCCATCCCTACAGAGTTTCCTTTGTGTAGTTTATATTTCTCCAGTGCAAGGAGGACCTCAACAATAATTAGTGAACACATTGATTTCATATTTAAAAATCAGCCTAGCTCAGGCTATCTCAGCCGCAGGCCCTCAGCAAAGCAAATGTTAATGCCTGTAACTAGGCAACCAATTATTTGAAAGTATAACCACTAGCTGAAACTGTATTGCTCCCTGCACGTGGCTCTTATGTTCTGAGCGCTCAGGGCTGGGTATCATATGTCAGGTTTTGCCAGAAGAGCAGCCTAATATATTCCAGTTTGCTTGAGGTTTTTTATTGTTGTTAGTTTTGATTTTTTTTCTTGAGTACAATAGATATCATATAAAACTTAAAAGGTTCTACCTGAGAAGTATAGAAAAATTTGATTCGCATCGACACACTCCATTCATTTTAATGGCTTTTCTAATTATCAATTGCTTTGACAAATATAGAACTGTTCTGCATGTACTTGAGTCCAAAAGCATATTGTCTTTGTAAACCATGCAGATACTGTTCATTGATGTCTTAAAATAATAATGATTTAAAAAAAGTCATACAGTAGATTTTGATTGCTTGTGCTCATTTCTACGTTAAAGAGCCTAGAGCAAAATTGGCTCTTAAAATGCAATAACCCCAAACTCATGTATTTCATATAGCTAGAAGAAAGGCATCTACCTCATCCAGAAAGAAGAGGGCAGGGGAAACAGCACTGCTTTTTAACTGTGCTTGTATATTGTCAATGTAAAGTGTGACAGATGGTGCGGTATTGCAGTCCATCTTATCGTTGCTGCTGTATTACTGTTTAAAATAGAACTGAAGTGTGCTGGAATACGTTTTGATTATTGTCTGTCTTGCATGCGCTCGCAGGAAAATGCAATCCTCCCGAAGAAACCAGGGGAGGAGAACTATTCAGTAGCTGATTTTATAAAAATAGATTCAGTAGCAGGTCTCAACATACCAGAGATCAGGCAAATGCAGGCAAGCTAACCCAAAGTTAGCAATGTACGGCAGTGTCTTACCCCCTCAGCCCTTTCTGCTGTTTTGTACTGTGTAAAAACAAACTGACAAATGGTAATTCATAAAATATTGTGCAGTGAGCTCAGGAACAATACTGCAGCTCCAAAGTGTTTTTCTGCCAATGTTTGTGTCATATAAACCATCCATTGTGTGCAGAGATCCACTGAAATCTTACTAAAGCTTATTTATTGTTGCGTGGTTTAATGCAAGGAGATCTTGTGGTCCCAGCCAGTAGATTCATGCTTGTGGAATCACTTTAGAGGGTCCTATTACTTAGACAAAACTGATTTTTTTTTTTTTTTTTTTTGCAATAAAGTGACACGGCCTTAGAAATGCACCGAGTGTGCTTCCTTTGTGTCACAGCATCCTCTGTGAAAGTGAAGTGAGGTTACACCTGGGTAGAAAATGTGTAGTTTGAATCTGACCTAAAAATGTGAACGTCTCTTTACTAGAGAAATTAGCTCCAGCACTGCTATTTGGGTCAGTGATATGACTTCCCCCCCCCCCACCTCTCCTCCTTGGGGAGGTGGGTCCAGTTGAAGTGCTGTTTCACTCTTCTGCAGTTACGAACTACATTTCCGGATAGGAAGAAGAGGTTACGAGTCTCTGATTTCATAGCTTGAGAAGCAAATTCTTCAGTGTAGAGAGGTTGTGGGATTATTGCCCTTGTTTGGGCAGTTAGAAAAGAGTGCTGTGCATTGGTGACTTGTACTTGAACTGTCCTCTTAAATTAGGACTTCACGCAGGAACTAACAGTTTGCGTACGGAAGAGCAGACAGTAGCCTCAATCCATGCCCTGTGTGATGTTATTAAACGCTTCAAATAAATCTCCAAGAACGCACACACCTGCACACCATAAACCGTGTGTTCTGGGCAAGCAGCAGAGTATTACAGGCCTGGGTAGAGTCCCCATGGCCAAGACCGAGCTTCTGAAGCTTGGGTAACTGTTTCAGGTTATTGCATTAGGTACAGGTGTGTTAAT